ACACTGGAAGAAGAAATGTTTTGAGCCGTACAAATTATTTCAAACAGCTTGGGATATAGTAAACCACGGAATTACGTAGGTTTCATCAAAAAATTTCGGGACTGCAGAAAGAAAATTTTTTAATTTCTCCTTTAAGGATGAAATGTACGGATTCGAAAACTCCAATTCAAATTTTCTGCGAGTGTATAAGAAGCGCATATATAGAAAAAATTTAGGGGATTAATCAATGGTTCACTTGATTCATACGGCGAGCCGCCTACGCTTAACACAAACGATAGCTGAGTTAAAAAAAAGTCTGAAAGCTTTCAGATATATTACCCCCAAAGGGGCGTTTTTTAATGTTTTGTGTTTTACCTTTATTTATTAAATATGATGTTCTTCGCACTTAAACCATAAAATTTAATTCAACAGCAATATCGCAAAATAATTTTAAAAGCGCATATCTTTAGAATTTCCATTGACAGTCTCGCGGGGCTGGAGATAAAAATGTTTATCCCCCCCGAACAGTGTTGCCACTGCTCGGTTTGAAATCGTTGAGTTTCTTTGTCAAAAACGCATAAATGCTGTACAAAATATGAAATAGATAATAAAACAAATTCCAAATTTGGACTTCCAGATGCCTACATTCGGGTGAAGGACTATATTATTCAGAATTGAATGTCTGTAAGTACCGTTATGTGTTCACAGTGCGAGAAACGTACATTTATGCAGCTTCTTCATTATTTAATTTCTTTTAATATAATGCAGGGCGAGAATATTTGGTGGCAGCAATTTGAAAACTAAAACACCATTTATAGCGAACCAACGCAAAATGCCAATGAAAACCATATTTCTATAAAAGTTATTAATTTAAGACTTTTTTAATATACTGACAACAACATAGACGCTGATTTTTGTTGTTTTGACTTCTGAATTAGTATTTGTTCGGCGTGTTATTGTGTCTTAAACATAGAATTATTTTGACATTACATTTAATATTTCATTTAATATTTCATTAATAGCATTTCATTATAAATTTTATTTATATTTCATTATAATTTTATTTATATTATAAATATAACTAAAACCGTAAAATTAATGTGGTATTTGGTCTTAAACTGAAGAAACTAATATATCAGTGTGTGTTTCGATTGAAGTGATTGCAATTTTCAAGGAGTTCACAAGGTTTTCATCTTCAATCTTGAAAATTGTTCATAAATATATGTGAAGATAATCAAGTCAGAAGAAAATCTGGAACCGCCGCTCCACTCAAAGCACATTTCATTTCGCTCCAGCGTGGTGTATGACATTATTGAAAAGCCGATTGCAACAGTAAAACATATTTTCGGCGTGAGGTCTTCTACCTTTTAATTGCACGAAATAGAGTTCTACCGGTATTGTTCTGTTATCGGGACCGGAGTCTTCGCCAAATGTTTTGCTAAAATCGCCAAGAAATTGGTTCACATGAAGTCATCAATGTTTACTTCTAAAGTCGTTACAATGTTAATGTTTTTTAAAGAAAAAGTAAAAGAATGCATTTTTAAAATTGGCAACGAGAATGCAATTTTCAAAGATGGAACTGTCACTTGTGTTTTTATTATTATTTTACTTACCATGGATTTGAAAATTTGGACTTGCTTAATGATGAAATATCTTCCATATAATTTCCTCAGGAACGAGGACTTATTCAGTCTAGGAAAAAAGTGTGCGAAAAACCATAAAATAAATTCTTTTCCTACTTTCTTTGGCAAGTTGTTTAATTTACATTAAAAATTTCTAATTTTACGAATATCTGTTGTATATTTTCCCTTGGATTTTTCTTCAACTTAATCGTATCGTATTTCATTTATCGTAATGTAAATATTATGGCAATTATTTTTATGCGTCGAATTTTTCTCCAGATCGTCAATTTTTGGCTATATCTGAATCCGGTCCTGATAACAGATCAATACCATAATATTGTTACGAAATGCCCCGCCATGATAAAATAGCTTCCCCTCAAGATGGGTTTAGCGTTGCCAAAAATGGCAAAGAAAGGCAGGGTTGCCAGATTTGGCTCGAAATCGCCCATTTGGCGAAAAATGGGCGATATGCCGTGGACGGATGGAAAACATTTTGGTAAGAATTATTCCAGGTTTGGTCCAGAATGTTCTCGAAAGTAGCCCAAAAAGCTATATAAATCCTGCTTGTACGTGGAGTAAGAGTCGATCGCGAGTCTATCAAGTGTCTCGTAGTCTATCAAGTTGATCGTCTAGTCTACTGTCATGTTGGTGCATCTTCGAGTGCATCGCGAGTTGTAGCGTGGAGAGTCTCCAAAGTACGTCGAGTTCCGAGAACGACCGAACCGAGTCGGGAGCTGTACTCTAGTGTTTTGCCGTGAAGCTGTCTTCATCGTTGTAGCCTGAAAGCTGTGTTGCTGATTGTTTCAGCTGTTTGTCGTAGTTTTTCGACGAATACAAACGTGATTTTGGAACTGTGCTGAGTAATACTGGCTAAAAAATTGCGTTTTGATTCTTTATAAGTATTGTCATCAGTCATTCCATATCCGCGAACCTGTACAGAACGCAGCAATATATTTTGCATAAAAAATTTAAACTATTTCAGACGAGGCTTCGTCGCTAACACGTAGACGGAGCACACGTTTAACATCAAAGCTCTAGTGTCGAAAGGATAAAATTGCTAACACCAAAAAGATACATGGCTTGTTATTCTAATAGGTATTTATTGCAAAACATTCATTGACATTCATAATACAATTGCAGAAATGATAATAAATAAATTTGAACATTCTGTTTTGATAAAAAACAATTATCTAATAGCTATTGTAATATGCCTTTCAACTTCTGATTTAAGAATATAACTTCTTTTACAGATGAAATTTTTTAATACATGATTTTATATACACTTTTCACCGGGGAATATTCACCCAAAAAACATATGAAATGAATAATTATACACACTATTGTAATTTACACAAACAATAAATTACACACTCACATAACGCTCCTTCAAGCAAGTCTAAAACTCACATTTATCGAAGGAGCTTTTTTATCAGAACATTTGAAGTAATAAATATATAAATAAATAAAAACTTTTCATCTTGATCCCTTGTTCAGTTTTTTTTTTTTTTTTTTTTTTTTTACGTAATTTTCTAAAGCGGATTTTGAAGTATATAAAACTGACAAGAAATTTTAAATCATGTTCTAAATGATTTGGTCAAAGAAACTAATATTAAATTTCAGTATATACCGTGAGTTAATTACTTCGAGTTTAAAATTTAAGAATCATAAGCGAATATAAATTTTTTTTTTTCGAAGCGAAGTTCAATTTGATGTTTAAGAAGCACAGCGAATATAAATTTCGTGACATCGATGAGTTGACATCTGCATACAAATTGCTCAAAATCGTATTTTTTCTTTTCTTGTACAAGTATTCATTGACTTAGGGTGTAGTTAAAACAACGAAATTATTAGAATATATGAGTCTATAATTGTACATTTTCATTTTATCTAATGATTTTTTTATCACTTTTAATATCTGCTAAACGACCTGTAAGTTCATTGTTTAAATTTCTTTTAGGCTTATTTAAAATTTTTTATATTTATCATAAAAAATCTTTCGAAATCAAGCTATTTATAGTTGTCACTTGATGCAAACCTTAATCAAGTGCAAATTTTCCTTTTCATTAGGTAAAGAAATTTAATCTCAATTGAAATTTGGGAAGAGTGCTTGTTTCAGTCGAAGCGTTTTATCCCCAAAATTTTATGATCTTAGTACTATTTCTGTTAAGTCAATATGCTCATGCATACTGCAAAAAATAATCGGTATTTAAACATAGAACCAAATTATTAACGTTCGTGATTTAAGCAATATGTACTAAAATGTACTCTTATTGTTTAAAAGTTATTCATCAAACATTCATTTAACATAGAAAGCAAAGCAAATATTTCTTTTAAAGTAGCTTTTAAATCTCTATAAGGTACAACTCTAATATACGCCCTAATTTCACCAAATGTGGCGATATGTGTTCTGCGCTGGTTTTTGGCGCGATTGCGTGTTCTATGGCAACCCTGTTGACGTTGAAAAATCTTTCGCTGGAGCTCGTTGGTTCGCCTCTGTGTCTGAGAAGATGGGAGGGAAAGATAAAATGGTAGTTGTTGAATTGAAGTTCGGCAAAAGGAAATATGATTGTGACTATCCTGTTGAGGGGTAGTGGGTATTTGGAAGTGTGGAAAGAGGGTCTGCGAGATTATTTTTAATGGCAGTGTATGATAGAAGTAGGGATTTGTGATTTTATTTATTTGTGAACCATAGTATAAATTTTCTGGATAGTGTGTCTGGCTGTCATGTAAATACGATAGTGATTACGTGGCAGCATGTTAAGGCGGTATGAAATTTATATTTCTGCTATTCAAAAACGCATTAATTCATGGTAAGTGCATTTTATTTTATCCTTGTTCTTATTTCGTAGAATGTTATGTTCATTGGTTCTTTAGTATGAATTTCTGTCGTTATTGTTGTTTTTTTAAATTGTTTGAAATTTAGTTTATTTTGTTGTTTAGTGTCTAGACTGTACGATTCGTAGATGTTTTTTAAAGTTGAAACAGAACGCTGTGTACATGGTATTATTTGAAATTTATTGTTGTTATGTTATTTTATTAAAGCGAGGAGTGCGTAGATCGTAGATTCCTTCCTTGCCTAAATTGTGCAATTCGTAGAATTTTTTTTAAAGTTTAAACAGGATGCTGTGTACATGGTATTCTTTGAAATTTATAGTTGTTATGTTAATTTATTAAAGCGAGGTCTGCGTAGTTTGTAGATTCGTTCGTTGCCTACATTGTGCAATTCGTAGATGTTTTTTTAAGTTAAAACATGTCGCTGTGTACATGGATTCTTGTCAAATATTTTTGGTTAGAAACTTTACGTTTTTGCTATCTAAATTTTTTGTTTTTTTTCGGATTTTTAGCTAAATTGTGTGTTCAAAACGTAGTTTTTGGAGACATTTTGGGCTAAAAGTTCAAAATGTAGACAAAAAATTTAGATAGTAATATGGCAGCGTGAAGTTTCTCGCCAAAAATATCCGGCGAGAAATTTGGCGACTTGAGGGCGCATATCAGAGTAGTTCCCTCTATAATTTTATCTTAAGTTCTTTGTGGTCTTTAATTATTATACAGCTCCAGGGCGGAAGAAGCTGAAAACTTGCACCGTTGCATTTTCGCAACCTTTAACTAGAGAGGGTACATTACATCCTTGAATTTTGTCATCATACACTGTTCCAGGAGGGCAGGAGAATTCATATGGCAAGAAGGAACTACCACTTTCTCCTTGCACGCGCACGCAAGAGTGGAATTTCTGGCAGTCTGCTGGATCTCTGTGAAGACCAGCCTGAGTGCATTTGAAGCTTGGAGCGCTGATGGGATCGTGCTCTGGAGCCTTTGAGGAAGTCCATGCAGCAACAGTTGTTGAAGTGGTAGTAGTAGTAGTTGTCGGTGGTGGACGAGGTGTTGTTGTCGTGGTCGTGGTCGTAGTCGTCGTAGTAGATGTAGTTGTAGGAGCAGAAGGTTTATATGTTGTTGAAGTGCTAGTAGATGCGCTTGGTGGCTGTGTAGCTGGAGCTTTTGGTGGCAAAGGAAGGGCAATCGATGGGTCAGCGAATTCTTCATTTATTGCCGTCAAGAGAGGGTATTTTTTACCGTGACATTTTCCATGGAAGTCGTCCGTTTCAATTGACCACACCATGCCTCCTCCGAGCCGATAGTATTTAGCGTAGTTTACCTAATATGCACAAATGATTTGTTAGATGATAATGCTTATACAAAAATTAAAAATATTTTACTTATTAGCATTCATGACAAGGAAAAAAGATCGATGGGTATTTCGTTCTATCCGTAAACATTGAAATTCTGACTATTCTTGTATATGATATTTCGAAAAAAATAAATAAAATAAAATCTTTAAAAATGCGAAAAGGTATGTAACGTCTGAAGATCTATAGACAGTTTAGAATCTTTGCGCGATTGTGAAAAATTGAATAACTGTTATTGTTATTATTTATTATTCCGCTTGCTTCATCTCTCAATAGGCACTACAGGTCAGTCATGTAATTCTGATTGTTGCACCAGCAACCTTTTTTGGTTGTTTATCTTTTCAACCTTATTATTGATAAACAGATTTAACATTAGTTATTATTTTTGTTTTCTGCTCTAACTTACAATTTTTGGGGTATGGTAGTATAAAATAAGCAAAAAGGGTTAGTTAGTTTAGAGATATTTAAATATATACATGAATGGAGGATTGCTGCCTTTACATTTCATCAGGTGTTTAGACTTGGTTATCTGCTATGATTATGTTTCTCTTAGAATAGACGTACTCTATGATAGTTCTGATGCCCCGCTGTCCGTAGTAATATTGAAAAAGGTCTTTGAAGCTATGAGATCCCTGGAGCTGAGGAAGGAAGGCTCTGATGGGAGAAGTGAGTGGACAGTCTTGGATATAATCTGAGACGTCTGCTGAAGAAGCTGAAGCACAGTAGGCGCATTTGAAGTTTTGATGGCAGAACCTGCTGAGGTACGCGGGAAATCTTCCGTGATTTGTGAAAGCTTGTTGCAGATAGAAATCTGTTTGGAGCCTCTTGGTGGAGAAAACTGGAAAAATGGAGTAGATGTGTCGACCGGTGTTTTCTAAGTCATCCCAGCGAGCTTGCCAGATGGACATGAAGGCGCAGAAGATCTTGTGTTTGGCAGCGACTATGGAGAGTGGGATCTCTGAGTCGATGGAAGGGTGACTTGTGGCTTCTTTAGTTAAAGAGTCGGCCCTTTCGTTACCTTGGGTACTTTGATGACTACACACGAACAACTGGTATAAAATACGAATGCTAGAAGTCTGGGAACGGCAGGCTTAGTTCGGTTTGGAAAGTAACCGGTTAAATTTAAACCATTAAATGACACGCAACAGAAGGTGGCCAGCTTTTGTCTTATAAGCCATATTCTGTTAATCTCTCCAAACGTCTTGAAGATAAATTAATGAAACTTTTCGTTTATAAAGATTCTGTGAACGGCACGACTTTTTGGTTCTGCTGGATTAAATTATTTGGTTTAAGTACAGAATAAGAACTCTATCTGCCTTAATTCTATCCTTCCTTTGATCGAAGGTGTTCCGGGGGTGGGGTGGGGGAATGAATCTGCTCATGAGTAACTAAATTTAAAATACATATAGTTCCTAAACTTTTAACCTCTTTAATTTCGTAACTATCTACAGTGGAACCTCGAGATATGAGCACCTCTATATACGAGAAATTCGAGATACGAGGAAAGTATGAACGAAACATTCGTCTCTAAATGTGAGCATTGACTCGAGCAATGAACCAGGATGTTGGTGTGCGTGGCGCTATTTCCCGATCTGGCTCGACTCTGGGAATTCCCTCGTTAGATCACTCGGTGTTCTTTGATCTACGTGTTTGTGCGCTTGTGAGTTAATTGTTGTTTACATTTAACATGAAAATGATTATTTCACGATGCCTGCCAAGAAGACTGTCGCTTCAGATAGTGCTGCAAATAAAAAGAAGAAAGCCATGGGGGCCGTTGAAATTAAGGAAGAAGTCATAGATAAACGTAAGCGTGGTGTAAGAATGACGGAATAGGCGAAGATTTAAGGCCGTTAGACATCGACGATCTGCTCTGTTCTGAAGAAGAAGGAAGAAATTAAACTTGATGTCGCCAAAGGAGTTACCGTTACTTCCAAGCACCATCCAAAACTCCTAAAAGATGTTGGGAAGCTGATGTTGGTGTGAATTGACGAAAAGTAGTTAAAAGGCGATTCGGTGTCGGAAGTTATCAGAAAGGTAAACTGCAGTTATATTCTTTACCAGTGTTATTTATTATAAAAATTGATTTTTATTTTGCTATTTTTTGGGTTGCGGAACGGATTAACTGGATTCCCACTATTTTCAATGGGGAAGTTTGTTTCTAGATACGAGAAATTCGCTATACGAGTTCAATGCTGGAACAAATTAAACTCGTTTCTCGAGGTTCCACTGTATTCGTTATGACAATATTTAGAACATTAAAGGAAATATCTAAAAATAGGGAAATATCATGGAATATCTATCGGGGGGGGATACGCGCAAGCTGGCTGCTCGATGGTTGCCACGTTTGCTAACTTTGGACCAAAAACGTGTCTCAATGAATATTTTCACCATTCTGTTGGCGCAATTCATGCGTAATAAATCGGACTTTTTTCGTCTATTAATCACTGTAGATGAAACCTGGATTCATCACTACCACCCAGAAACAAAAACACAGTCCAAACAGTGAGCTGCAAAGGGAGAATCGGGCTTCAAACAATACCTTCTGCTGGGAAAGTGATGGCAACATTCATATGTATCAGAAAAAATACTCTTTTTAAAAAAAAAATTAGTTGTTAACAGAGAAGTACTTACTTTTAATCTTATACTGGCTTCATTGTCGTAGCCTACCCACTGCCTATCTTGGTAAGCGTAGGGTGACATGTAATAGTCATCCCATACGACATTCCATTTTTGGGTCTTTTGCATTTCACATATCTGTAAGTAAATTGAGAAATTAGTTTAAAATATAGAATAAATCACTGTAATAATGTATGAAGAACTGAAAAAAACACACTTTCAATATGGTAATATGATTCTTAAATATGAAGGTTGCTATTTATATTTCTGGCCTTGGCAACAGTAAGTATTGCTGGGCGACCGCAGACGATTCCAATCGAAAGTTTGATATTTTTAACTGTAACTTCTTCAGAAACGTTTTGCCATTACAGCGTTATTTGTGCAGTGAATTGAAAAATTCATCTCGGGCCAAAAATGGAATTGACTCGTGGACACTTTTGTACGATTATTTTTCATAACTTTCGACGTGGATTATCAAGACAACAGTCCTTCGATTAACTTAGTTCTTTATACAGCGAAAACGTACCATCCTACAGAACTTAAAAAAAAAAAAAATGGTATAACGAATTCAATCGTGGTCGACGTTTGCTCCGGCACGAAATCCGCGAAGATCTTCCAAACTCGGTTGTTGTGCCAGAAAATATCTTTGCTGTGCGTGAAATGATAAAGCAAGATCGTCGTGTGACATACCGTGACACTGACGAATCTTTGGAGATTAGTATGACAAGCATCAATAAGATGAGCATTTGGCCTAAAAAAGATTTGTTCACGTTGGATCCCGCATAATCTGACATACGCTCAAAAGAAGGTTTCTGTAGATTGGTGCAAGGAAATGTTAGGCGTTAAGGGAGCATAAAAGGCTGTGTATAACGTCTACACAAGTGACGAATCATGGATGTATGCATATGACACCGAAACAAAACAGCAGTCGACTGCATAGGTTTTACAAGACGAGGCAAATCCAACAAAAATTGTTCGCCAAAGAAGGACATCGAAGCAAATGGTTGCTGTTTCCTCGGCATTACCGGTCACTTAAGGACACTGGAGTTAGAGCAACGCAGGACGGTCAATTGCGAATGGTACACGATCATTTGTTTGCTTGAAGTCATCGGAGAAATTCAAAAATGCAGCAGAAGAGGCGAATCATTCTTCATCATGACAATGCGAGCTTGCTGCCACACATTGGCTCAAATAAAGGAATTTTCGACTGGCCAAAACATCGAATGGATGGGTCATCCGCCGTACAGCTCCGATTTGGCACCCAATGACTTTTTTTATTCCCGCTTATAAAAAATAAATTACGTGGTAAGCGATTTGCGACACCCGAAGAAGCGGTGGATGCATTCGAAACGCATGTTTTGGAGTTAGCTCAATCGAAGTGGAAAAGTGCTCCCAAAATTGGTTCAAATGCATGTAAAAGTGTATTGATCTTCATAGGAGAATACTTTTAAAAATAACAAAGCCAGTTTAGATCATAAACATTTATTTTTCCATTATTAGGACAGAAATATAAACAGCAACCCTCCTAAATGTCTGATTCCCCGCAATGTTTACCATTTTTCAATTCAAGGTGGTTTCTAGTTTCTATTTCTAAGGGACTTTATATTCTTCTTACAATTTCTTTTATATTTTTACATTTTTGTATATTTTTACAACTTTTTTTTATATTTATATAGCGTTTTCTTGTATTCTAATGAGATATTTCATCATGCAGATTTTATTATTGCATTTTGAAATATTTTGTTTGAACGTTTTAACATATACAGTTATGTTAACAGAGTTAATCTACAGTTATGTTATATAACTAGCTTCAAGAAGATTTGGTATGAATTCCGATGATGAGTTCTTAAATGTACGTGCTGTTATGATATGAAGAACTCATTGATTTTTTATAGTTAATATGATCGCTTTTTGTTGCTTATAAAAGAGAAGGAACAAAGAGTTTTAACCAACTGAAAAATACCGCCTTGTAACAAAAGCTTCGCGCCACTGCAAATAACGTCTGCTCAAACAGTTCCAGTTGGCGTGTTTAATCATACAAACGATTTTTGGCATTTGAAAGGAAGAGACTTGCTTTAGAACATTGTGTTCTGAAATTTGTAAAAAAGTATAGTTATCATTAATTGTAAGGTGTCTGAAATGGAACTACCACGCTACCAAATTAGAACCATCATTTACCTCCAGTTCTGTTGCAAAACGTCAGTTACAGAATGTCACGCAATCATGTGCATAGCTTGAGGTACAGCTTGTATCATATGACACTGTGAAAGTTTGGTACCGAAAATTCAAATCAAGGACTGTGACATTCAAGAAGCAGAGCACTTTGGCCGGAATGATGAAGCCCGCCGGCGCAAACTTGTGGAAGAAGATCAGTATACAACCACTTGAGAGCTAGCTAAGGAATCTGACGTTAGTGCCATGTCACGCTATGCGTCGCATAAGCTTGACGTACAAGTTTAATCGCTGGGTGCCGTATGGGCTGACTCTAGGAGATAAAGGCAGACGTGTTCGGGCCTGCACTAATCTGCTCGAATATCAAAGCAAGGACAAAATTCTGGACCTGATCGTAACTTGTGACAAGGACTATGACATTCAAGAAGCAGACCGCTCTGGTCGGCCTTCTAATATAGGTAGGAGAATTGCCTCCTACCTCTCAGATGAAGCTAAGGCAAAGAATCTCTAAGGAGAAGAATGAAAGCTTCCATAGACGCAATGTAAACCTGTTTCGCCTCTGCGCCGCTGTACCGAAGAGCCACGGCTATGCAGTGAAACACCAGCGCAGGGTGATAAATTAAAACAGCGCAGTTCGAGGAGATAGTAAATTTTTTACTTTGAAATAACTCAAGTTTTATTTCAACATTTCTGGAGTTTTATGAGCAAAAGGATGTTAGTTGGAATTTTGGGCGAATTATACAAATCCTGTCCAATTTTTAATTTGAATTTAAACAGCGAGCCATACGAAGACAAAATTTAAATGAAATAAATTTCTTAATTCTTTTCTTCTGTAAACTTAAAAAGGGGGAAAAACACATGCCATACAAAACGTAATAATTTTTTATGAATCCATAGTTAAAATTTTACAGTGAAATTTTAAAAGCAAAATTTGCAATAACTAACTGAAACAGAAAAAATAATTAAAGACAATTAAAGGCACCCCTAAATAAATTGAAAACACTGATGAATACATTATAATTATCCGACAACAACTTTAAAAACAAATTACCATGAAAGCTTTTAGACAATTATTGGAATGACTATTGTGAAAACCAAGAGCAAAGTTTTCACCCAATACCCAAACCATTTTACATTAAAGTCTCTAAAAGAATTCACATAAGTAAAAAAAATTACCATGAAAGCTTTAGACAATTATTTGGAATGACTATTGTGAAAACCAAGAGCAAAGTTTTCACCCAATACCCAAAATCATTTTACATTAAAGTCTCTAAAAGAAATTTCACATAAGTAAAGCAAATTACCATGAAAGCTTTTAGACAATTATTGGAATGACTATTGTGAAACCAAGAGCAAAGTTTTCACCCAATACCAAAACCATTTACATTAAAGTCTCTAAAAGAATTTCACATAAGTAAAAGCAAATTACCATGAAAGCTTTTAGACAATTATTTGGAATGACTATTGTGAAAACCAAGAGCAAAGTTTTCACCCAATACCCAAAACCATTTTACATTAAAGTCTCTAAAAGAATTTCACATAAGTAAAAGCAAATTACCATGAAAGCTTTTAGACAATTATTTGGAATGACTATTGTGAAAACCAAGAGCAAAGTTTTCACCCAATACCCAAAACATTTTACATTACCTTTAAAAAGTCTTAAAAGAATTTCACATAACTAACACCAAGTATCTCTGACTACAACAACAAACAACCTTTTCGAACAACGTGGTTAAAAGATTGCTATAATACGGCCCGACGGCTGTGCTTGTTTCCTCCTGATGGTTTTTCGCACATGCGCAGTGAGGTATGGAGGGGGTTGGATAGCTTTGGGATGGTTTGCCCCTTTAAAGTAAGCTTCAGGGATATACATAATGTGTCTCTTCGGTCTGACGGAGCCACATTTGCCTCGGGGAACCTTTACTTCTCCTTAGAGATTCTTTGGCTAAGGAAAAGGCGTGGGAGTCTCTCACTAGTTCAAAACCAGTTATTCCACCAGATTTTCCTCGTTTTGTAGAAGTGGCATTATGTCATCTTTTGACTGGGCACGATTGTCTGAATGCTCATCTTTTTTTAAATTCAACTTAAGGGGACATGTGACATATCAACTGGCAAAATGCAACTATTTGAAGACAAAAGTTATTAGGGTATAACTTTTCTCAAAATAAGCGTATACTCTAGATTCTCTTTTTCATTTAAAATAGACAGGTTGTAGATTATATAAAACACATAAAATATAAATTAAAAGCGTCATATTTTTAAAAACCAGTTGTTTAGTTTCCTTTGACGAATCTTTTGTGACAGTGTGCTAATTTGGTAGACTTTTCTTAAAAAGTACTGCTCTAAGCTTCTTCAAATAATGCATGATGGTTAAAAACATATCATTTAAGAATAACTAGCAGTATATTACTTTTTATTTAAAAAGAAAAAATATTAAAAATAAATTATCAAATGCAAAACTAATTATCATAAATTTTATATTGTCCATTGTTTCAAAGAAATAGTTAAGATAAACAACTGTGGGAAATTTAAACCTACCAGGCTCAACAGTTTCCAAGAAAAGTGTACCGAAAGTTTAAAAAAACACATTTTGGGAAAAAAAAAACATTTAAACAATAATAATTTATATAAAAAAACATTTTAATATTTTCCTGCACCATAATCATCTTTAATCGAAATTTTCTGCATATAATTGTTTTTGTTTTATTAACTTATACTTCTTTTTTTGCCATTTTAGAAAACTTTCGGTAAGCGAGATGGGCCTCACGAATTCTATCACAATCTATTTTCTCAAAGACTTTACCGTATAAAATCGTGGTTGTATTCCTAATAATTCCGTTACTTTATTGTGGCTTTGTACATCATCATTAAAACATATTATCGCATCTAATAAACCTAATTTTAATGTGATGACATTCACAAAAACGGTTTTTGGAATGCGTGTCCAGATGCAATTATTAACACTTTCATTCGAGTTCTTCCATGAATAAAATTTGGCAGTAGGTTTTTTTTTTTTTTTTTTGTCAGAGAGACTTCTAAACACGCTTTTAACAGCTAATAAAACAGGTTTTGGCAACGAATTTTTATGAACATACTTTTTATCAGCTGATAGGGCTTTATTGTTGCCACACCAGACATCTGTCCTCCTAAACTGGTGGGCTTGCCAGTGCTTGTTTACATTTTGTAATGAAAGACTTCGGCCTTTTAAAATTTCGAAATATGCATAAATTATGTATCTTTAGAATCGTCTCAGACTACTTTAGTTTTTAGGCTAAAATTGAAAATTTGAAAAGAACAGTCCTTAAGGACTCTTGAGTCTGTACTCTTTATAACTCTGGACAGTCCATGAATAAGGAGCATACTAACGAATGCTCTGCATTATTATCTTTTAATTCGATTGTTCTTAAGTATAGGAAAGCAAGTTCAAGACTAATGGCTTAGTGGCCAAATGTCTGGCATTAGTATCAATAAAAAATTTCTCATTCAGTCTTACGAAACCTGTTGTTAAACAGGTTCTAACCAGTAATTAAACAGGTTAATTACTGTAGTACTGTTTTTATTGACATAAGATCTTACTTCGTTATATCCCAGTGAGCCGGGTTCTCTGGTGTAAGGACCAGCTCGCCCTTTTTGTGGAGCCGATGCGTTGAAACCGTTGTTTTCTGCTCTCTGTAAGGTGAAGGATCGGCCATACAGACCCATACCCAAGACGAGTTTCTCTCTGGGTGCTCCTTTGGATAGCCAGTAATTGATTGAGAAATTCTAGGAAAATAAAGAAAATAGCTTTTGATTTAAATAACTTAATTTATAATAATAATTTATAAAAATATACTTTATAATAATTTATAAATCATATACTTTGTGGGGTTCCAACCTGTTATCTAACAACTAAATGTGTAGGAACCTCGTGAACAGATAAGCAAATACAGTACAAAGTCCGTAATCCGGACTCATGGGACCTCGCCGATTACGGATTAAGGGTTTTTCCAGATTATAGATAATCAATTTAAATCTGGTAAGATGGCATGCAGAAATTATACAATTAAAAATATGAAACCGTAATTTATGAAATAAAGAGCAATTATGATCCAAAGGGTATCAAAATTTACAAAAAAAAAAAAAAAAAAAAAAAAAAAAAAAAAAAAAAAAAAAGGCTTAATGTTTATCTGTTTACTTTATCAAACGTTTCCTTCAATGTAAGTTATTTAAGTTGCTCCGTTTTTTCTGCTAATACCTTTCTCTTTAATTCTGCAGACAGACATAATTTTCTTGTTCAATTATATTGTTGGAAGTCCTGTACCTGCTATTTCGAGAATTCCGACTAACTTGTACAATCGAAAATTTTCTCGTTTCCAGTAACTTCTCTGTCACTTTCTTCACTGTCGGAAGCGCGCATGTGTAAATGCTTTACTGGCTTTACGCGTATGCGTAGCGGACGCACGCATTAAACGCGCATGCGTAAGTTTGTGGCTTTGAGTCCGGATAATAGGACGTCCGGATTGGACGTCCGGATACTACTTGTACTGTATTCACTTTAGTTCAGAAACAGATATGTATAACTCAAGAGGGGTTAATTACCCTTTATTTCTCAAAATAAGAATTGAACAGTAGGTTCCTTTTTCGCGGCGTACAGCAAAGCCTCCACTTGAGCTTGAACTCAAAGAAATAAAACTTTATTAAAAAGATATAGACGAAGCTATCAAAATTCTAAGTAAATGGCACCTAAATATCAACTACACTAGGGAAGCTATCGAGGATCTGAAATACGAATAGCTTAGAGAGAGTGTAGCCAACAGGCAAACGCGAGCTAGTTAGAAACTCTGGCTGTCTAACGAAGTCGGTGGAATTCCGACTTTAATACCGCTCTTAACTCATTTGCATTAACCGCAATTCTAGAAATACATTCTGGTAGGAAATTGTAAGCTGAAATTAGGAGGGATAGGAAAATAGTTTTAACTAAAGATAACTGTTAAAAACTTAGGATAAACCTTATAACTTTATAATTATTTAGACATAATATACTTTAAAATAATTAAGATATTCATATACTTTATAATAATTTAGAAATTTATAGTACTTAGTAACTATAGCACTTTAGAAAGGCTACAAAATCTTGCGAAAATATTTAATGAGTACTTTGTTTTAGATTGCAATATGTAAGCAGACAAAATGGCTAAAGAACTATATTTAAAACCTAAAATTTGAATTGCTTATGTTTGTTATTCACGACTCTAAGGGAATATCTAGTAATTATAAATATTACATTATACAGCATACGTTATAAAACACTCTGTATCATCCTGTCCCTCGTAGAAGCCCATTTCATGAATTTTTCAATCTTCAGGTCCCAACAATGGATTTAATTTAGGCTTATTGGAAAGTGCTATTATAATAGCGGGAATCCAGTATAAACACTGAGTATCTACTCGTATATAAAAGAAACTAGTGTATCAGATAATTAAAAAAACGCTTTTTTTTTTTTTTTTTAAGTACGTTTTTTTCAAAATCTATGAATCTGTGTATCTGTGAATTATTAGGTTTTTGTGAAGAGAGAAAAAGGAAAAATCAGCAATGCCCGAGGCAGGACTGGATTTTCCGGCTTCCCGATTGCTAACCGGACGTTCACCCAGTCACACCACTAAGGCACGCAGTAAAAAGGGAGGGAATTCTTTACAACTTTTATGCTCTACAGCATATCTTCCTCTTTTTACAAGTATATTTGACGTAAACAAAATTAATCGCGCTGTTTGAAAATTAGAGCATATGGTTTCTAAAAACCGCGTTTGGACAAACTAGTTTTTGCATATAAGGTATTTCTCCCTCCTCCTTAGCGTGCCTTCGTGGTGCAATGGTCAGCACATTCGGCGCGTATTCGAGAGGTCTGATGTTCGAGTCGCGGCGAGGGTATTGCTCATTTTTTACGTCTCCCGCATTAAAATAACCTAATGACTCTGCAGGTGGCATCCGAACTAAAAGGCGGTGAATGATGATTCTTCACCATCAGGATCTGGCGATTGGGTTCCCTAATCCCCAGTAGCCCTTTAAATACAGTATGTAAGGTATTTCTCAAGCCTTCTTAGCATGCCTTCATGGTGTAATGGTCAGCAGACTCGGCGCGTATTCGAGAGATCCGAGGTTCGAGTCCCTGCAAGGAAATTGTTCATTTTTCCCGTCTGCAACATCAAAACATAATGACTCAATCATAACCTAATGACTCTACAGCATATCTTCCTTTATGTTGATATCCATCTACTATTTACTGCTTTATTTAGATTAGCCTTGAATATAAAAGATCCTTTTCCCGTAAAAAATATTTTATATATGCTGAAAAAATGAATGTTTACATGACTGAGTGTGAAAAGAATAAGCGCTATCGAAAACCATACGAACGATAATCTTCTATATATATATAAAAGGAAGAGAGTATCTGTTTGTGTATGTGTATGTCTTTCGTTCGTGCTGGGCTTAAGCTAATAGACCCAGGCCTACGAAATTTGGTACATAGGCGCATTTAGACAAGAGCCAATGCATCTCAAAGCGAGTTTTTTCAAAATTCAAATGTGTTTTTTTAAATTTTATGTTTTTTGATGAAATCGCATCAAATTGATTATTCTCTCTCATTGCGAGTCTATCAGCAAGAATGGCACGCAGCCATTGTTGCTGATATCTGCACTGTTGCCACTCGGAAAAATGAGGGAGATAATTCTGTGCAGTTTTTAAATTTAATGTTTCTCTTGGATACAGGACGTTTGTCAAAAGAAGGCAACGGGAAGTTGGTTAATTTATCTATGAGGATCATTAATATTTGTATTAAGGGATATTTCAGTTTTTAAATTTAATGTTTGGTGTTCCCTTTGGCACTTTTCCGGTACATTTAAAAGCCAGACGAAGGCTGGTCGCGTAGCGGCTAGTACAACAATAAATAACAAAGGTAATTGATCTATTGAATTAAGAATGGAGATAAGCGATTTTTAAAGAATGTAATCCAGCTAGGATATAGCTTGTGTTTTATGAGTAGTAGACAAACTGAAGTATTCCGATTTTTTTGCTTGCTGCCATATGGGAAAAAATTGGTTTTGGAGATGGGTCGGCTACGGCAGTTGTGTTCATTACCTCAGATAAACCGCAGTGGAAACGGCCTTTTAGTAGTCAAAGGGTAACGATAAGGGTAATGTAGATGATAAGGAGCTTATCAGACATTAGTTGTCGTGGCAGTTTGATGGAGTCACTACTGTAGCTCTAGTTTTACATCGTCAAGTGTACGGGAGATGATGCGATTGATGATAGCAGAAAACATCGCTAGTTTCAGAAGTTCAGGGTATCAGGACTGGTATTCCTCTTTACTTGCTTTGGAAACATGAACTGTCCTGACTCGAAACAGGGAGCTTACTCAAGCTATGTTCAATAATTTGTGAAGTAGACCATACACACAGGAAGGGTATACGAAACCCTTTATTTTTCTATCTTTACAGAGATTTCCGGGACTTCGGAATACAGAGACCAACCACTTGTGGTCTGAACGTAAGAATATAAAAATATTAACTAAAACTCTAACTAAACTAATTTTGGATTAATATACAAGTGTGCCTATTTAAGATTGGCCGTTAATTAACAAAAAGCCGTATGTAGTACAGAGAGCTGCTAAAACTACGATACGTTTAAAATTATCAAGAGGATTAAACCTCTGGCCTTGAAGGCAACCAGCAAACGAGTAAAACTACTATGGCCAGCGGCCTGCTTCTAATAACTCCTTCCTCTCTCTTGATTGGCAAAAAGCCACAAGTTAAGTACTTGGCGTTAGCAAGACAAATTTGCATAAATAAGTAAAAGCTTTTAATTCTGGCCGGAAGTAGAAAATAAGAAGTGATAGTAAGGATTTAAAATAAAATAAACGTTAGTAAAACTTAGGATCCTTACAAGGGACTGAGACTTCTGAAAGGATCAACCCCGTTGGTTCCTGAGCAGATTCTGCATCAAGCAATAGCGGTTAAATCTATATCCAACTGCTGTGGAACTAGCGGAAATAGGATCTGTACACAGACCAACAACTTCAAGACGAATGCGCGCACTTAGGTTAATCATAAAATTGAATCAGTAGATTTCACGTTTAGCTCTGTGAAAAGCAACGACAGATGACAACTAGTACTCGTATTACTTTTTTTTTTTTTTCTAGAAATGGTTCATTTTTGGAACGAATGGAAACGGTTCATGAAAACCGGGTTTCTCATCGAAATGTCGAAAGAACTTACTTCAACTACCCACCTCAAAGGAAGAATTACATCCCAAAACATTAATGGTAAGATATGAAGAGAATAATCCACTGGGAAGTATAACATGTACTGCCAACTGTTGGACAAACTGATCCGTACTTAGTCAGCACTTGCCAGTCGGAAAGCTATTATCTTTCAGCACAATAACACGAGACCTTGTGCTGATTTTAGTTGGCAAAGTTTGTCTCGTACAGTATAATTTCCCAGACCTGGCTTCTGCCCACTACCATATTTTTAGTTGGCAAAGTTTGTCTCGTACAGTATAATTTCCCAGACCTGGCTTCTGCCCACTACGTATTTTTTGATCGGTACAGAATTCCCTGGCCCTTTAGAACTTTGATAATGTGCAAGATCAGAAAACGGCGTCACAAGTATTTTAAAATTTTAAGCAAGTGTAGTTGACCGGTAAGAGTCTAAACCAGTGAGGGTTTGATCTACCGCGAAGCAGATAGCTAAAGTTTATGCTAGATGGCAAGAGTGTTTTTTACCTGA